GTCCAGCTGAGAATACAAAACATATTATCATCAACAGATAATACCCATTTATGTGTCCCATAAATGTCTTGCCTCTCTATTTTCCACCTTGATTTATTTCCTTACACTCTCTCACTTCTTCCACTGTCTCCATTGTCTATAACCATTTTCAGTGCTTCTATGTCCTCTAATCTTTCAGTTTCCGCCATAGAGTGCAGACAGTCGATAAATATCGGTATATGTTAAGTGGAGACATACAATGTTTTTCTTTTATAGCCTGACTTACTTCACTCAGCAGTAAATCTTCCATGTGTGTTTACTTTGTTTTTTATTTTAAATAAGTATGTATTTTTAAATTCCATTTGTTATCATCAGTTTTTAATTTGACCAGACAGAGACAGAGAGAAAGGGAAAACGAGAAAGTAAGCCACTGGGTCTGGGACTCCAACCACAATCAGCCACGTGGAAATCCAGCACCTTTAACCACCACACCACCTGCTGGCCCCCTGATATTTGTCTACTTTCTATAGAATGCCACAGTCTTTTTTTTATGGTGGAGTAGTATTCCATAGAGTATATTGGGACCAGCAGTTGGCATAATAGCCATGTTGCTGGACTCCCACATAGTCGACCACGGTTTGAGTCCCAGACCTGGTGACTTAAAGTCACGCTGGCACATGAGTGTGCATGCCCAAGATCCCAAGAAGAGAATGGAGGAGAAGGGATTGTGGCATGGTCATCCTCCCGGGGGTGGGTGGGGGTGGGTGATGTCTCTCTTTCTGTCTGTCTCTCTCTTTCTGGCGAGCACACACTCCCTATAGCAAAAACCTCCAAAAATATTATTTAATTTTATTTATTCTTTTTTTTTTTTGGAAAGGCTTTTGATATAGGGCGCATGTACTCACTAGAAAGACAGAGACATAGAGACAGCAAGAAGTCATCCCCCAGGGGGGATGGTCACACCTCAGTCCCTTCTCCATTCTTCTCTCAGAATCTTGAGCATGCATGCACACACACCTGCGTGAGTTTAAGCCACCGGGTTCGGGACTCAAACCATGGTCGACTAGATGGGAGTCCAGCAACATAGCCATTATACCAACTGCTGGTCCCAGGAAAATATATTTAATTTGATTCAATAGATTAAAGCCAGTGAAGGTATAGGTAGAAGCCAGAAAGCAATGTGCTGTGCTGTTACACTCTCCGAGGCCATAGCAGCATGTAGCAGCCTCGCCTAGTGATGAGACACAGGTTCAGCTTCTGTACTACCACAGCAGAGGACTGCTGTCTGTTGATACAACCTCGGAGTTCAATTTCAGTTGTTTATGTATGGGGAAAGGCAACTCAGCATAGTGGTTAGTCCACCATATTGTGGGTTCCAGACCTAAAATTTTTGTCAAGAGTTCCTGGCTTCACTGTGTACTAGTCTTTCGACCCTGGGCAAACTGTTCCCCTCATAAAGTGACTGTTAAGTATGGAGCTCACATGCATGAATCACTCGGAACAGATTCAGCACATAATACAGACTCAGATGTTACTTAGCGTGTTTATATTACTTTGCTTAAAGGTAAAATGTAATTATAAGCATAGAGAAACAAAAGCTACCTTTTTTACATGTATATAAAAATACATGTATAAAAATGTACAGGTAAAAAAAGCATCAGTCATGGATCTCACTCTACAAATTTGCAGAAGTAAAAACAACTTTATTTTTCTTCTTATCGTTTGAAGTTCTGCCTGGCTAGTGGAAAACTCCTGATTCTTCCAGCTTCCTTTCTCCTAAGATCATGTGAAGTGCTGAAGCACTCGGTGCAGCAGGGAGAGGCCTCTGGTCCTCTGTCCACACAGCAGGAGCCATCCACTGCCTCTGTGCCAGATGAAGCCACAGGCATCTGCCCAGACTCACCACCAGCACCCCACTTGGCAGTGATTACCTCCCAACATTCCTCTGGTGAACTCAGAGCCAGCTCATCACTTCTTCCCCTGCGCACTGTCACACAAAATGAGGACTCTTTCTGACTTGCAGGATCATCTGTCCTCTCTTCCTTGACTTCTCCCAAACATTTTACCTGAACCACAACTTCTCTAAGGTTCTTTAAGGAGATGGGGCTTTTGAGACTGCTCAACTCCTGCTTCACTCACATTTCTCCTGAGATCACGTGTCTCCCTTGTCTCTCTTGAAGGTAGCTCTGCTTGAAAAGAAGGAAGGGAAAAAGAAATACTGGGAAAAACCATAATTGCTTATTATCTCAAAAATATTTCATGGATTTTTATAGCCATTTTTTTCTCTGAAGTGAGACTAGGTCCTTAAGGATGCTGTGTTTTGGCCTCCGGAATTGAGTCACATCAGAGTCAGCTGCCTGCTTTTCCATATGCACCAGGCTAGTGCTATGGGTAGAAGGGCTGCTCAGGAGGAGGCCAGACTCTTCAGTGAAAGTAGTGCTTGGGCTGGGGCAGCACACCTGAAGTGGGATGTTGGTGGCTGCTCGCCCTGCCCAGGCAGGAGCAATAAAGATCATGAGGTTTTAGGTTGTCACATCTTCCACACAATCTGCAAAAATAATTAAGTCCAGTGTCCTGGAAAAAATAGGCTAAACTCAAGGAATGTCTCATATAAGAGTTTAGTCATCAGCTTTCATTGAGGCCAGTCCTGAGCACACTGTGGCACTTATGTTGGCTGACTGAAACTTCTCAGTTATGCTGTGAGGTGGACAGTATCATCCCTGTTGGGATATTGCTTCTTTGAGAAGCTACTTTGTCTTAAATTTGCAGAGCTGTGAAATTTTAACACCATTTCAAATATGTGTGGGCGTCATTCTACAGACAGACCACAAGGGCTGTTTCACTGCAGCAGGACTGGGGCTATGGCTGTAGGTATTCCACCAAAAAACAGCTGGGCAGGAGGTGACCATTTCCAGACCCGGGTCATCTTGCCTGTACCCCTGGGCAAAAGTGGGAAGAGGACAGCAACGCAGGTCTGATGATGCAGGACTTAGGTTGCTAAGCTTAATGACCTTTTGTGTTACTGGAATTCAAAATTATTGAGACTGTTCAGGAATAGTCAAGAAGTTCTGAGAATGGATAAGAGTTCTTATGTATCAAAACATAAAAGTATTCTAGTTAGGGGACCAGCAGGTGGTGTAATGGTTATGGCACTGGACTCCCACATGGCCTATCACAGTTTGAGTCCCTCCAGGCACATGTGCGTCCATGCCCAAAATCCCAAGAAGAGAATGGAGAAGAAGGGATTGCAGCGTGGCCAACCTCCTAGGGGAGGGTGATTTCTCACTTTCTCATGTCTCTCTGTTTCTCTCTGGCAAACATAAGCACTCCATGGCAAAAACCTTAAATATATATATATATATTTGGACTCCTGCATGGTTGACAGTGGTTTGAGTCTTGGAGCTAGCAACTTGCTTTCTCTCTCTCTCTCAAATTAAAAAAATAACAAATAAGATTAAATAAAATCATTCTAAGAATTTTTTATAAAGAGTAATGTTACTGAAACTGGAATAAGCAAATCTATAGGTATATTAGAAAAGATAATCCAGATATAGACCTACTAGTAAGAATTTATTTTGAAACGGTAGGGAAACAAATGGTTTAGGGGCATCTGACCCTCTATCTAACATGTTACACAGCTATTTTATACCTTTTCCAAAATAAAATTCTTCATGGACTAAGAAACTCTTCATAAAGTGTAAAAAAACAAAACTCTACAGATTTTCAATAATCTTAGCCTTCCTAACCAATATGTAAAATCCAGAAATGATAAAAGACTGCCAGCTTTAACCTTATGAGAATGAAAACAGAGGAGAATGGAAAGTCTGAAGTACACCTTGATACTGTTCAAGCCTTGCACAATGAGAATTTACTGAGAGGACAACATGGCTTACCAGACTGAAAATGAAAAATGTTGGTAAGCAGTTGGATTTGTATCATGGCTTTCAAACCAGCCAGCTGGTTCTGCCCTCCCCTGTGGACTTGTGCAGGGGCTGAAGAAAAGACAGACTCTTCTGGGACCAGCAGTTAGCATAATGGCTATGTCGCTAGACTCCCATGTAGCCAACCCTGGTTCAAGTCCCTGACCTGGTGGCTTAAACTCATGCTGGGCACGTGTGCGTGTGTGCCCAGGATCCCAAGAGGAGAATGGAGAAGGGATTGCGGGGTGGCCATCCCCTCTGGGGGTGGTGATTTCTTGTTTTCTGTCTCTCTGTCTCTCTCTGTCTTTCTGGTGAGCACATGCACCCTATAGCAAAAACCTCTCAGGAAAAAAAAAAAGAAAAAGAAAAGACAGACTCTTCGTCCAGGGCTTAGAGTCCACCCATGAAACTGGCTCATGGCTGCTACCACCCAAGACCTGCTGAGAGCCTGGCTGGGTGCTGACCTGCCACAGCATGGTGGCTGTCCAAGAAGGAAGTGCGCATTCTGGGACAGCTTCCTGGAGTGGTGGGATTTGAGCTGCATCTTGCACCGTAGGATCTCACGGTGGGAGACAAAGGTCTTTCCAGACTAGAGAGGTTGAGGCCAGGCAAGCCATGTGCCCTGGATGTCCTGTACCCACGCTGGGCTGGACTGCCCTGGAGTGGGTCAGCTCACACAGGTCTCACACCCTGACATGGGGACAGTAGTGGACAGTGGTGAAAACAGGCCTGTGCCAGGGATGAAGACTGGTATGTTGAGCTTGAGAAAAATAGGTCAAAGAGTTCAGAGGCTGCTGACGGCCAGGAGCAGTGAGATGGTTGCCTGGTGGCCCTGCTGCTGTAGACACCGGTGAAGGCCAGAAGGCCAGTTTATGGGCTGTGAAGTGTGGGTAAGGTGATAGTTTGCCCACAAAACTCAGTCAGTTTATGGTAAACACAAGATTAAACATGCGCTAAGTCTTTGACACCAGGGCAGGCCAGACCTCAGAGAGGTTACCAGAACAAGGCCATCTCAGTTCTCAGCACACCTTAAGCAAAATAGTCCTCAAAACAAGCCCTAGGCTCCCGCTCAGGCCCTGGATCTGTGCTCCCAACCCTCAGAACATGCGGGCCACACCCATTCAGTGCCTGTGCAGCCTTCTGGCAGGTCTGCGTCCGATGAATGAGGGTGAAGCCATCTGGAGGGATGAGAGGAAATCGAACTTGCATAGAGGCAATGAGGTATTTTTTGCAAACTCTCTGTCCACATTCCAGGCAGGGGCCAGCCTGCCTTCCTCCTAGCTGCGCTCCTGGCTTGCCTACTTATAGAGCCCCCTTCCCAACTCCCTCCACACCAGCTGGGTAAGGGGCAGGGAGCGGAGCCTTGCTCCAGATAAGAACCCAATGCCCTTTCCTCAGGAGGGAAGGAGCTTTGTTTTCAGCATTTTCCTCCCATAGTCCTCACCTCCCTGAAGGCCTGGCCTGCCTGCCAGGCTGGTCTATTTCCCACAGGCTGTAGTGGGAGCTACTCTGCCCTTCTCATAGAAGCACAGTCCTGGGGACAGAGTGAGCCCTGTCACTGTCACCTTAAGGAGGAAATCGGTTGCCCTGTGTCCACCACCTGGGAGGCAGATGTGAGAGAAGGAAGTGGGGCCAGGCTGGGGGGAGGAGAGCTGGCTGCTCCCTGCCACCCCCGCCTGCTGACATAAAAACTTCCTGCTATGAGAACAGAAACACAGGTGCCGTCCGTGCAGCCCCCGGAGCCTGGGCTGGAGGGGTACCATGGGCAGGCCTCGACCCCTGGCCCTGCCCTGGGCGCTGCTGACCCTCTGCATCACTGCTGGTGAGTGGGAAGGCTAAGAGTGGAGTGAGTGTGACAGGGAGACAGAGCTCAAGAACCTTCCTGTCCTTGTTCCACAGGGACGCCTGAAGTGTGGGTGCAAGTTCAGATGGAGGACACTGAGCTCCCAACTTTCACTATCCACTGTGGGTTCCTAGGGTCTGGTTCTATCTCATTGGTGACTGTGAGCTGGGGGGGGCCTGACGGTGCTGGAGGGACCAGGCTGGCTGTGTTGCACCCAGAATTTGGCACCCAACAGTGGGCTCCTGCCCGCTGGGCCCGCTGGGAAACCGGAAGCAGCATTTCTCTCAGCCTGGAAGGGTCCAAGGCAAGAAGCCCCAGCTCCAATACCACCTTCTGCTGCAAGTTTGCTTCCTTCCCTGAGGGCTCCCAGGAAGCCTGCAGGAGCCACCTGCCTGGCTCAGACCAAGGTGGGGCTGGGGAGAAGGAAATGGGAGGGACTTGGGCACTGCGGTCTATCTGATACCTCTCTCTGCCTAGGGTTTCCTGCCCCAACTCCAGCCCCCATTTTGCCGGCAGACCTGGCCGGGATTTTGGGGGTCTCAGGGGTCCTGCTCTTTGGCTGCATCTACCTCCTACACCTCCTGCGCCGGCAGAGACATTGGTGAGCCCCAAGCCCTGGTCTGAGTACCCTCACTGGCCTGGCCACGTGCTGTGCTCTGACCCCCCTAACTCTCCCAGGTCCGTCACCAGGCTCCAGCCACCCCTCACCAGCCCCCAGGGACATATGGAAGCTCAGGTAAGGATTGGGGGATTGTGTTTGGAGCGGAGAGCAGAGTGGGCTAGGGCTGGGGCTGAGGCTGCGAGGTGGTGGAGCGCCACTTGCCCGTCCTTCCTCCCTTCTGCAGGCAGCTGACCCAGCCTCCTTGTCCTCTCTGCACACCCCCTACACCACCAGCATCAGCTCCTGCCCAGCAGTCCTAGACGTGGCCCACCCCCAGCAGCAGCTGTCTTGGTGGTCGCCGGTCCCCACCCACACACACCACACCCAGGCACCTACCCCCTGGACTACTCTACCTGCCTCTGCACACAGCAGTTTTATCTTCGTTGAGAATGGACTCTATGCTCGGGCAGAAGAGAGGCCTCCACACACTGGCCCCAACCTTACCCTTTTCTCAGACATTCTGGGGCCCAGAGCCATGGAGGGGCACCTGGGAGTTTCATGAGAGAGACTCCAGGACCACTTGGCTATCCCCACTCCCAGGCCTCTGGGACCCTCCTCTGTTGAGTGCCCACCTTCTTGGCACATCTCGTTTTATTGTTGGACTCTGATAAGTGTGTCCACTTGCCGCGGATGTGGGCAGCACGTGTGCACGCATGGGGACGTGTGGGCACAGTGTGAGTATGTGAGGTGACAGAACCCTGTTCCAGGTGGTTTCCTGTTTTCAGCTCTCCCCAGCCCTCCCAGGTGATGTCAGTAACTAAGTCAACACAGTGTTTCCTCTGACTTGAGCCTTGGCTGGGCCTTTTCTTCATTGTGGTGTTGAAGATAGGGCAATTCAACCCCTGGAAGGCAGGAGCCAGGTTAGAACCCGAGTGGGATCGGGTCTTGGCATAGGGGTTGGAGTAGGCCTGGGGAGAAGTCAGTGTCCCCCTCTCAGTGATCTCTCCCTGCCCTCCCCAAGTACAGGAGTTGGGGTTCCTGGGTCTTTGAGGCTAAAGTAGCAGTGTCAGGCAGGGTGGCTCTCTGACCATGCAGAACTTGCTGGGGGACACCAGGGGCTGGGAATATGGGGATTCAGTGGTCCCCAGGTGGATGGTCCATACTCAAATGCCACCAAGTCCTCAGGGCTTCAACCCAAGAGAAGTCTCTGTGGTCTAACTGGGTGTCCCTGTGACAGGCCCCTTGAGATGGCCTGGGCCCTGATGCCTCCTTCCACAGTGCTCTCATTCAGGGTAGGGCAGGAGGGGGCCTGAGGGAACCCACTTCAACTCTGTCCCCTGTCGCTTCCTCTAGCTTCTCTGTTAGGAGGACACCGAGCACTAGTCCCTGTGAGCACTCAGGCAGAGGCTCGCAGACACGGAGACTGAACACACACTTCCCTGCCTTACATGTCCCATCCATGAGCCAATCCTCCTCCTATAAGCAGGTCCTGTGGCTTGGGCTTTATCATGCCTTAGCTACGTGAGACAGTGTGAGTAAGAGAGCTCTGTAAGCTGCGAGGCTTCTCAGGAACATGGCAGGGTCTCAGGTGGTTCTGGAGCCAGGCTGGGGCTGAGCCTCTGGCTTAGGTGACTGTCAGTGGGGAGGGAAGGGCTTCTGCCACTCAGCCCCTTCCTTGGACCTATGACAGGGATGTGCCAGGCAGTGCCAGTTACCAAGCCAGGAACCCACATCTGCCCACCTCAGGGAGGGCCTGCCCAGAGGCTGTGTCCACAGAATTTTCTAGCAACCCAGCTTCCTACCCTAGGCATGCTCTGATGCAGCCTTCCCAGGCCCCAGGCCCAGCCCCCAGCCCAACCATCGGGTCTGTACTGCAGTGAAGAAAGGTGGTTAAGGGATGGCAGGGCCGCCTTCCTCTGCCAGTCATCATCACTCTCTTCCAAGAAGCCCTCAGCACTGGCCCAGTCAGCTCAGTGGTCTCTCCAGGGATAGGAGCTCAAGGGAGAGAGGACAGATGCTGCAGACCTCAGAGGAGGGGAGAAGACATCAGGGAGGGAGGGAATCAGGGCTCAACATCCTTGGGGCCCTGTCCAGAATAGATGGACTTTGGGACAAGGGGGCTTGCAGGGTCTCAGGGGACACCTAAGCAGGAGCCCCAGAAGGGGCAGGTGGGCCAGAACATGTTGACTCTGGGTGGACAGAAGCCCAAGCATGCTGACAGGGCTTCAGGAGGTCTCCTAGGGACCACGAGGTGGTGCTCTGTGGTGACAGCACATCACCAAGTGGTAGATCTGACATGGCTGCTGAGGGACTGGACTGTCGCAGAGAGGCGAGTGTGAGAGCCAGCAGGCACCCTAGGCAGAAAATAGCTGGTTGCAGGCAGGGGAGTGGCCTCCGAGACTCTCTGGGCAGGGATGGGGACAGAGCTGCAGCCTGCCTGCATCTGCCACTGCAGCTGTACAGGCCCACATTCCCCTTCCCACAGCAGCCAGCCCAGTGGCTACGTCAGACCTCGGGACCCAAACTCACACCCACCCCAGACCACACTCAGGCCATCGTGAGCTGCCTTCTCACACCACACACCAGCCTACCCAGGACAGGCCAGTAGTCAATCTTGGGACCCTGCCCACCTCAGCCATCTACCCAAGCAACCCAGAGCCCTCCTTCCTCAGCCCAGCCCCCACCACCCTCCTGCTCACATCCATCCCAACTCTAGAGATTTTACCCAGTCCTCAACCCTCTATAGTCTTCCTCTCCATCCCTTGCCACCACCTCTCCCCACAGCCCACTCCTAGCCACTATCAGCTACAACTCAGTCCAGCATACCTGCCCTCCCTCCCCTTAGCCAAACTCAGCAACCCTGCTCCTTCACTCTGTGACTGATGGCTGACCCAGCACTCCCTGCCTCTCCTGCTCTGGCCCCTCAGCTGCCACAGGCCTGGACTGCCCTGCCCCCTCAGGCCCTTTTTCAGGACTAGGCAGCCACCTTCCTGCCAGGCCCTCAGGCTCCTGGCAGGGACCAGCCAAGAAGAGCCACATACCCAGTGGAAGCTGGGGCCAGGGGCCATGACTGCCCAGCAGTGGGTGATCTCGGGCAGATGGTCAGCTATGGACCCTCAGACATTTGTGGTGTGTGGGCACAGCTGAGAAAAGAAGGAAAGTTCACTTCTGCCTGCTTCTACCTCAAGAAGGCTGAAGACACTTCTAGAAAAATTACATTTTCCTTTCCCCACAGTCCCTTCAGCAAGATGTCAGCCTCATCCTGGTGGGGAGAGCCTCAAGTGGAGCCAGTCCCGTAGGTCACTGACGCTCCCCGCCTCCAGCCTTTCACCCACCCACACCTGTCCCAGGCTGGCAGTATCCTCCATGACAGGTGACCACTTGTGGCTCTCAGCCTCTATTTCCACCTCTGCCCAAGGACACTTCTAGGTTAGACAGGGGATTCAGCTGTGCATGGAGTCATCTAAGAATTTTATGAAGATACAATCTCCGGGGACCCACCTGCTACAGAGCTTTGGCAACTGAAAGTTGAGGCCCAGAGATTCCACCCTCAGCCAGCCTGAAGCAACCTTAATGGACTCAACAGGACTGGAGTTGCAATCCTGGACCTGACAGACCTGACACCTGAGAGTCACCTGGGCCCAGCTTCTCTGAGCCCTGGTCTCCTCCTCTGCAAGGTGGTAAGGAGAGACAGGACCCTGCAGGTCCAGTCTCGTGTTAAGGGTTGAGGTGGGTCTATAAAAGTCCTGCTCTCTGCATAGGGAGGACTGTCAGCCCACCTTCACCCCCTGAACCCAAGAAGGACGTGCACCAAGGGAGCTGGCCAAGAGTGGAGGGGTCTTGGTTCTGCCTGAGGACAGCAGGGGAGGCCCTGCCAGGCAGGGAGGGAACAAGAGTAGCTGGGGGGAGGGGGTTCAAGTCCTAGATCTGGGGCTGAAACCATGAAATCTTCAACGTGTCCCTCCTTGTCATCTCTGATAATCCACTCTGGAGCATCACTGGGCAACAACTAATATCTGCTTTTCCTCTGGTCCCAGGCAGCCCCTTCCCCTGGAGTAAAAAGATGGGATGTCACCCAGAAAACCAGAAAGAGGAGGAAAAAAAAGAGAACTAGGATATGGGGAGGGTGAAAGCAAAGAGACAGGCAGAGAGAGAGAGACAAGAGAGTGAGAGGTCAAAAAGGCAGCAAGGCAGGGAGTTGGAGGAGAAAGGAGGCCCTAGCCAAGTGAGGACCTCACTTCTCAGTGTGAGATGGGGGCTGGAGCCTCTGGCAGGGCCATTTGGGCACTGACCACAGCTAGGCCCTCCTACAATGCTGGAAAAGAAGAAGCCAGATTGATGAAGGAAGTGATGGTCACAGAGGGTGGGGATGTGGTGGCAGGCGGGCCTGGGACGCTCCCACCCTCCCTCAGTCCTCTGAAGGCCTGGTGCTCACCCTTCAGATGTGCTTTACCCTTGACTTCCCCCAACTCCTGTAATCACCAGAAGTCACCACAGGGTCTCCTCAGCTTTACCAGTTCCAGGTGTCTTCTCAGCCCCTGGGGAGTATGGGCTGGCCCCTGCTGCTGCTGCAGCCGCCACCCGTGTTTCTGTTCTGCAAGCTGGTGAGTGGCCTGGTGGGGACTCTGCCCAAACCCGGGGAAGGGCCACCTGGGAGGGGCAATGTGTGAGTGCCTGCAGAGGAGGGGAACACCAGACCGGAGGGTTAGCCCTGCCATATGTCACACTACCCTAGGCAAAGGTGCCAGGAGGACTGGGGTTAACCTTCTTGTCTCCTGTGGTGGCTTCAGTCTCACCCCCTCTCCCCCTCCCTCCTCCTCCCTCCTCTAGGAAGCTCCGCAGGATCCAGACCACCGTATGAGCAGGGAGTGGACCAACCAGAACACCCCGTGGGCGGCTCCATCGATATCCCCTTCTCCTTCTATCACCCCTGGGAGTTACCCAGAGATCCCGAAGTGAGTATACACTGGAGGCGGCACAACTTCCATGGAGAAATCTTCTTCAGCACCACCCCGCCTTTCACCCATGAGGATTACAGGAACCGGCTGACCCTGAACTGGACGGAGGGTCAGAACAACGGCTCCCTCAGGATCTCCAACCTGCGAATGAAGGACAGGAACGTGTACTTCTGCCGGGTCAGTCTGAACACACTGAACAATGGCAAGAAAGAGAGGAAAGAGTGGCAATCCATCCAGGGGACCAGGCTCACTGTCATGTCCGGTGAGTCCAGCTCCTCGCAGCCACGGTTCACTCCATGTGCGGTTTCTGTTGACTGCTGGTGTCCTGGGCCCCAGACATCCCCTCAGGCCCCACTCCTTATGACCTTCCTCTCTAACTTCTCTCCCTGTCCCTAGGTTCCTATCTTGACCTTTCCCAACTTTTTTCTTTCTCTCCTTAATCTTCCCTAAACCTGAGCTGCCTTCCCTAACCATGCCTCTCACTATCCGCTCCAAATCTAGCCCCTGCTCTAGTTCCCACTGTCACGCCTAGTGAGACCTGCTGCCTGACAGCTGCCAGGCATATTTCAGCCGAGGCTTTGAAAGGTCAAAGGTGTCCTCACATTTAACTGACTGGCCTGGAAATTTTAAAAAATAATTATGTTAATTTAATTATATTTATTTATTTTTAACTTGAATGGATAGAGACAGAGAGGGAAAGGAGGAAAGGTGAGAAAGCAAGCCGCCAGGTACGGGACTTAAATTGCAGTCAGCCATGTCAGACTTCAGCACCTTAAACGTCGTGCCACCTGCCGGCGCTAACTTTTCTGAACTTGAAGCCTTTAACCTTTTACCTTATTTTTTCTTTCTCTCTTTAATCTTCCCTAAACCTGAACTGCCTTCCCTAACCATGCCTGTCACTGTTCGCTCCAAATCTAGCCCCTGCTCTCGTTCCCACTGTCACGCCTAGTGAGACCTGCTGCCTGACAGCTGCCAGGCCTATTTCAGCTAAGGCTTTGAAAGGTCATAGGTGTCCTCAAATTTAACTGACTGGCCTGGAAATTTTTAAAGAGTTATTTAATTTACGGACCAGCAGTTAGAGTAATGGCTATGTTGCTGGACTCCCATGTAGTCGATCGTGGTTTGAGTCCCAGATCCGTTAGCTTAAACTCTCGCCGGCACATGTGCATGCATGCCCAAGATCCCAAGAGGAAAATGAAGGAGAAGGGATTGTGGCATGGCCATCTACCCTGCGGGGTGATTTCTAGCTTCTCTCTCTCTCTCTCTTTCTGGCGAGCACAAACACCCTATAGCAAAAACCTCTCCAAAAAACAAAAAAGAAAGAAAAAATTATTTAATTTATTTATTTTTTAACTTGAATGAGACAGAGACAGAGAGAGAGAGGGAAAGGTGAGAAAGCAAGCCGCCAGGTACCGAGCTTAAAGTGCAGTCAGCCATGTGAGAGTTCAGCACTGCAAACGTCGTGCCACCTGCCGGCTCTAACTTGTCTGGACTTGAAGCCTTTAACCTTTTACCTTTTTACTCTCCTCCCCATGTGAGCTTCTGAGACCTGTCCCCTACTCCTATTATTGCCCCAAACTAAGGAACAAGAAGCAGTACTGGCAGCCAGGGGACACCCACATTCCTTTGGTAAAAAATCTTATTTCTCATCTCTCCCCAGCTGTCAAGACCACTACCAGGAGTCCCTCCAGCATAGCCTCCACTGCCATTACAGCCACCATAGAAGGCAAAAGGAACTCAGGATGTGGGCCCCTGAGTCTGGGGACTGCCATCTGGCTGCAAATGGCCTGCCTGGTGCTCAAAGTCGCCTTTTTGGGACTGATGCTCTTTCTGAGGTGGAAGAGAGGGAAAGGTGAGTGATCCAGGAGCTCTCCCCAAGCTTCCCAACTGAAGTAAGCAAATAGCATTCCCTGCCATAGGACACGCCCAGGAAGGGCGATCTGCCAGTTAAGTGTGACAGAGAGACAGGACGTCATGGGGGGTGAAGGAGCTAAGGAAAGAACATGGAGAGCAGCAAGTCATCAGGGAGCACAGATAACCCAAAAGAAAGGGCATTGTTGGGACAAGAGTTGAGTGAGGTCAAAGGATAGGCATATGGGACAATGACAAACGATAGCTGGAACACTTTGAAGGTCATTTTATGAGGTCAACCTTACCTTTATGCCAAGGACATAAGGATAAGACAGACACTGCAATAAAAAAAAGAAAAAAGATTTTGAAAAGCAAGAAAGAAAACTACAGATAAATACAACCAGTGACTATTGATGCAAAAATCCTCTGCCAAAATACCTGCCAAATTCAACCACACATTTAAAGATTTCAAACCACAAAAAAGTAGAGTTCATTCTTAGAATGCAAGGATGGTCCGACATATGAAAATCAATTAATGTAATGTACCATGTTAACAGAAAAAAAAAAAAACACATGATCAACTCACCTGATACAGAAAAAGCTGGGCAAGATTCAACATCCTTTTGTAATTAAAAGTCACTCAACCAATCAAGAATGCAGGGGATCTACTCAGTATAATAAAGGCCATTATGAAAAGCTCACAGCTAACCTCACTCAGTGGTGAGACTGAAAGCTTTGCCTCTAAGATCAGGAACAAGTTAAAGATGTCAATCTTTTTTTTTTTTTTTTTTTTTGAAGGGTTTTGGCTTTAGGCTATAGGGCGCGTGCACTCGCCAGAAAGACAGAGGCAGAGAGACAGAAAATGAGAAAGGGGATGGCCACGCCCAATCCCTTCTCCTCCATTCTCCTCTTAGGATCCTGGGCACTCACACACTTGTGCCGGCGAGAGTTTAAGCCACCGGGTCCAGGACTCAAACCGTGGTCGACTACATGGGAGTCCAGCGACATAGCCATTACACTAACTACTGGTCCCAAGTTGTCAATTCTTACTACTATTAGTCAACGTAGTATTAGAAAAACTATCCAGACCAATTAAGTCAAAAAAAAAAAAAAAAAAGAAAGAAAGAAAGAAAGAAAGAAAAAGAGAGGAAAAAAAGCATCTAAATTGCAAAGGAAAAAGTAAAATAATCTGTTTGTGGGTGACATGATCTTATATGTCAAAGACCCCAATCATTCCACAAAAAATAACTTTTAGAACTAATGAACAAATTCAGCAGTTTCATGTTAATTTTGTGTGATGTATTCATTATATATTCCAACGTATATGAGGGTATTGAGGGGACTCAAACCTCTCTTTGTACTGGCTGTCACAAGACACCTCATCCAAGTTGCCTGTCCCACTAGATTGGTTTTAAGAACACGCAGAATGTGGAGCACATCCCACTGGGTGAACAGAACATGCCGCTAGTGAAGGATGTCTTCATTTCTACGGCCGAGAGGGCTGTGTACACTGGGAATGCACTCAGGATCTGCACCATGACCAAAGAGAACCCCAGGAAGGAGACTGTCCCCTTGAGAAGGGGCAGATTTCTGTGCAGTTGCTATCAGTCAGTTTAGAATTTGGTTAATATTGTACCTTGAAACTGTTGGGCAAATGTCTCTGTTAAAAAGAAAGAAAGAAAGAAAGAAAAACTTCAGGAGCAGCAGTTGGCATAATTGCTATGTTGCTGGACTCCCATGTAGTCCACCACAGTTTGAGTCCTGGACCTGGTGGCGTGAACTCAAGTCGGGTGCATGTGTGTGCGTGCCCAAGATCCCAAGAGGAGACTGGAGGAGAAGGGATTGTGGTGTGGCCATCTCCCCCAGGGGGTAATTTCTCACTTTCTGTCTCTCTGTCTCTCTCTGTCTTTCTGGTGAGTGCATGCGCATATAGCAAAAACCTCTCAAAAAAAATCTTGCAGAATAAGCAGTGAGTGGGACTGCTTGCAAGGATCTAGAGAAATGAAAAACTTTGTACACTGTTGATAGAAATGTAAGGGACCACCAGGTAGCATAATGGTTAAGGCATTGACTCCCATATGGACAACCGTGGCTTGAGTCTTAAACTCTGTAGCTTGGAAAATCACTCCAGGCATATGTGCATGCGTGCCCAAAGTCCTGAAAGGAAAATGGAGGAAAAAGGATTGCAACATGGCCATCTTCCCAAGTGGGTTATTTCTCAGTTTCTCTATCTGTCTCTGTCTGTCTCCAGTGAGCGCATGTATTCTATGCCAAAAAAGAGGACAGAGGGACCAGCAGTTAGTGTAATGGCTATGTTGCTGGACTCTCATATAGTTGACCGCGGTATGAGTCCTGGACCCGGCGGCTTAAACTCACGCTGGGCGCATGTGCGTGCATGCCCAAGATCCCGAGAGGAGAATGGAGGAGAAGGGATTGTGGCGTGGCCATCCCCCCTGGGGGGTGATTTCTTGCTTTCTGTCTCTCTGTCTCTGTCTTTCTGGTGAGCTCATGCTTCCTATAGCAAAAACCTCTCCACAAAAAGGAAGAAAAAAAAAAGAGGACAAAGAAAGAGAGAGGTAAAACAGTACAACCATTGTGGATAAAAGGATGGTATTTCTTCAAAAATTTCAAAATAAAACCAGCATATGATCCAGAGAGCAATATCCAGCAATACCACTCCTAGGTATATATCCAAAAGAATTGAAAGCAGGGTCTTGAAGATATCCTTGTACACCTGTATGCACGCCAGCCATATTCACAGGAGCCAAGAGGAAGTACCAACCCAGTTGTCCATTGTGGGGAGCCGCCTGTTGGTTGTCTGTTCGCTAGGCCCAGTCATCTTTAACAAATTGAAGTCGTTCATCAGCCAACAGATAACATCCCTCCTTTCTCGACCTATCCAGGTCCATTACACCAGACTGGAGATAGAGGATCTCAAAAATTATCCATCCACCAACCAGAGGCGCTGAGCTGGCTAGCCAATGACGGGGACGAGAGAAACCGCGGTCGACTACGTGGGAATCCAGCGACATAGCCATTACGCTAACTGCTGGTTCCCATAAAATGAAAAAGTTTTAGAGATTTGTTTTATAACAGGGTAAATATACTTAATACTACTGAGCTGAACTCTTAGAAATGATTACACAATTAAGATAAATAAAAAACTATTCACATGTCAGAAAGAGACTGAGAGTGTTGGAAAGAAAAGAGTTACAACACAAAAATGATGCTGGAATTTAATATTTCAGTGTCTCCACTCTCAGTGATTAAAAAAAGGGGGGCGGGTATTGAGGCCAGTGGGTGGCATGAGATTAAGACATTGGATTCCCACATCATTGACAGTGGTTCGAGTCCTGGACCCAATGGCTTGAGTATCACCCCCGGTGATGTGTGTGAATGCCCCAAATCTCAAGAGGAGAATGGAAGAGAATGGCCAATCCTCCCGGTGGGTGATTTCTCATTTTCCCTCTCTGTTTCTGATGAGCATATACCCTATAAAAAAAAAAGAAAGAAAGAAAAAGAAAAGAACAAACACAAAAACCTAAAAACAACAAAACAGAAAGGTCTGCAGGTGACATACATGGTGGTTAAAGTACCAGATTCCACATAGCCAACTCTGCAATTTGAGTTCATGCCCATTCCCCGTAAAGGGTGATTTCTTGCTTTCCTAATGTCTCTGTCTGTCTCTGATGAGCATGCATGCCCTATGACTAAAATCTAAAACAAGAAGAAGATAGTCTACGGTATGGCAGAATGGAGAAGAGAGGTCATTGGAATTGCAGAAGGGAGTAGAGTGCAGGCAATTGTCCTTTGGATGATCAATGACAAAGAAGGACGGTGGATGCTAGAGGATACTGTGAACCAGGGGCCAGATCCTTGGGAAATGCTGCAGAGAGACTTCGAGGTGGATGTACAGGGGACAGGACAGAGGGTAGATGGAATGGTGGCTACAGTATCAAAGGACCAGTGGAGAGGGGAAGGAAAATGGTCCAGTGGTGGCAAGAGATGTCTCAACCCCTACAACACTTGCTCTATCTTGAGGCTCTAAAGGTGTAGAAAAGATTGCCACCATTCAAAACAACAGAAGAAGCTGATTTTGTAGACCAAGAAGAGACTGGTGTGTGCATTGAAGAGGAGGAGAAGGAGAGAGGTGGCAATCGGGACTTCAGTACAGGGAGGACCAAGGTTGGAGTGAGTCGGGAGTTCAGGAAAGGGGAAGGGAAGCCAAGGGAGGGGAGATAGTGATGATGGACTGTGGGACCAAGAAGAGCTTGTCTTAGGACATGTTGTTGAGGACATTAGGGAGGACAGGTGCCGGCCAGCCTGCAGCGCCCACTGAGTGCCTGGCTGAGTCCCAGGACTTCGCTGACTGCTTTGGGCAGAGCTGCCCTGCTGCTCTGGTCCCTCTAAGGATGGGCTCAGGGCAGGACACAGCAGTGAAGGAGGGAAGGAGACATGGATGTCACACTGACACGCAGCTGTCCCCCCACAGGTCTGCAGCCTAAAGCCAAAACCTCAGCCGGGTGAGTGCTCTTCCTCCAAAGGGGAACTGGAGTGGGGACCTGGGGGGCATGGTTGGAAACACAAAGTGTCACAAGGAAGCAGGTGTCTTTCACAGCTGCTCTCCATCCCGACTTAAGATCTGTGCATCCTCTTCTCTGACCTCTAAAGAGACCCGTCTTGAGCTCCTCGGCGCCATCGCCTAAAAGGAGAACAGGGCTTCAGAGCAGCCCTTCAGAGACTCTTCCCCAGTGTCTCCCCTGCATCTTTCCCTGTACCTTCACCTTCCTCCTTTCATCCCAGCATCCAACCTTTTCCTTTTGTTCATCCTGGTTTCTCTCTGCCTTGAACAGCTCCTTCCCAGACACGTCCAGCTCATCATATTTTCTCTTCTTTCTTGCTCTCTGTCCAATCTGTCCTAGTTTCCTGGTGATGCACCAGGGGCCAAAGGCTGCCTCTGCCTCCAGCTGCCCCAGCACCAGTCTCTCAGAGGGACTTCTCAGCCTCTGCCTCCCTCTTCTCCACTGGCCCTGCCTCTCGCTCTCCCAAGGCTCTTCCTCTTCACCCTCCCTCCTCTCCTGACATTTTTTGCCATTTCCATAATTTTGCTCAGGCCTGCCTCCCTCCTCTCTCTCCCTGCCCCATCTTTCATCAGCTGCCCTTCCTCCCACCCCTCCTCGCCCTTTCTCCTCCAAGGACCAAGCCTTAGCACCTGTCCAGAAAACCTAAAATCCACTTCTTCGTTTCCCTCTCGCTTTCCCAAGGCTCTTCCTCTTCACCCTCCCTCCTCTCCTGACATATCTTGTCATTTCCATAGTCTCTTGCTCAGGCCTGCCTCCCTCCTCTCTCTCCCTGCCCCATCTTTCATCAGCTGCCCTTCCTCCCACCCCTCCTCGCCCTTTCTCCTCCAAGGACCAAGCCTTAGCACCTGTCCAGAAAACCTAAAATCCACTTCTTCGTTTCTTCCCACACTCCCTGCTTTAGCCAGGGCAGTGCCAGCAGAGAGCACGAACAGGGGCCACCTTCCCATCTCTTCTCTCTGTCCCTTTCCAAGACAAGCAGCTTCTCTAGAACACCTTTGGTTAGCTTAGGGGGCCCTCTGCTGGGCCACAGCTGAAACTGCTTCTAGTTCTGCTTCCAGGCAGCTCTTTCTGGAGAGCCAAAGCCAACCCTTCCACCAGGAGTTTGTCAGCAGAGGTTGTAGAGTCCTCCTCAGAGAGAGCCAACCCCCACACTTGTCTTAACTCTTTCCTGCCCAACCTCTTACATATTTCTCCTCCTCTTGCTCCCATACAGGGACCCCTTCCAGAACACTGAGAAGAAATATGAGAATCTTGAGAATAAAGGCAAGTCCTCCTCCCCAGTCCCTACCTGTAGCCCTTCCTACTGTCCCAATTCCTGCTACGATGGAGGTGTCCCCTCTGTCTTTCCTCTCCCCATGACCCCCATGTGACCCTGGCCCTGACCTGGCAAATAATTTTGCCATGAGAGCCTCCTGCCAATTTCCTTGCCTGGCCTGAGCACACTTTGATTTTTTCTTCCTAATAGGAGTCAACATGGTGACCCCAAGATAAGCAGCCCAGACAAGGGCCTGACAGAATTAAAAAGAAGCTGGGAGAAGGCAAGATGGAGGAACAGAGGGACTGTGTATGGGCAAGGCCCTCAGGTTCAGGTGTCATTGCTTTAAGATGGGCACAGCTCAGCCTTCACTGCCTAACCCCCTGCCCTTCAATTCGCAACCAGGATGACAGCGTGGTCTGTGGCTTCCTTGCCTTCTGTTGGGGTTTGCACATGTCCCCCCTCCAAAATTCTGAATCTGAAATTCGGGATTTTGCTATTAATCCCTTTGTGGTGGTATTAAAAGGTGGGACCTCTCTACCCTCATGAATAGATTCTTGTCATAAAAAAGGCTGGAGATAACTGTGCCTAGACCTTTTGGCTTTACTACCATGTGAGGACACAGCATTCATCTCTGCTTTGTCTCTTCCCTACCTCTGTACAGAAATAATCAGCAACAAAGTGCCATTTTGGAAGGGGAAACCCAAGCCCTCACCAGACACTGAGTCTACTTATACTTTCAGACACAAAGATGTGAAAAATAAATTTCCATTCTTTAAAAATGACAGTCTCAGATATTTTGAGTTTTTTATTTTAAGAATTATTTATTTACTTTTATTAATTTTTTTTTAGTTGACCAGAGAGAGGGAAAGTGAGAAAGCAAGGTCTAGGATTCAAACCACTCCCAGCCATGAGGGAGAGCAGAACCCTAACCACTACGTCACCTGCAGGCCCCTCGGGTATCTTGGTATAACAGTCTAAATGGACACTGTCTCTAGCTTGACTTCACTGGTACCCCCTCCCTGTCACTCTGAGAGTGAGATCTCCAGAGAAAGAGATGCTATACTCTGTCTTAAAGTTCTTATTAGTGGGATAACCCTCTTCACCTGAGTCAAGACTGAATGTTGTAGGCTGGCAGGTCGCATGGTGGTTAAGGGCACTGGATTCCCACATAGCTGACCACGTGGGTTTAGGTCCCAGACCTGGCAGCTTGTTTTCTTATTTTCCCTCTCTCTCTCACTCTTTCTCTCTGGTCAAATTATAAATAAATAAATAAATAACGTTAAATAAAATAATTATTAAGAAAAAAAGAAGAATTAATGATGACTGGCTTTGAGTAAGTGACACTTCCAACCAGAAGGATCTAGTTTCTAATAATAACCAAGGCCAGACGCAGATGACTCAGAAGACAGAAGCAGTTGAGGGCTCCAGAGGAGCTGAGAGAAACACCATCTACTCCAATTCCCTCTTCAGTGTCTAGGCCCTTCCCCACAGAACTACTCAGAGAATGCATCTAAGGAGAAAAATGATGTCACCTTTAATTTCTGACCCTGCCACCAGGAATGAACTCAGACAATATACACCCAAGACCCCTTCTCTGTGGTTTTTTCTTTGAAGAGACACTTCCAGCCTCCTCATTCAGTGGTTTCTGGTGTCTAGGCCCTTTCTTCCTCAAGGGACAGGCACCACAACAAGCTGGTAGGGTCAGGCCTTTTGGTACCATACTCTCTTCTTTCTCAGGCAAGATGGTTGCTAAGGTCTTGCTTTGGGGAGCTTTAATTTTTTTAGAGCCTAAATAAAGTAACAAAGTTGGTAGAACTATTTTAGGTCAGTCTGTCCTTATTCTTCACAGATAATTTAAATTCGATTTAGAAATTTTTAGATTGACCAGCAGGGGGAGGAACAGACTTTCCCTGGTCAGCAAGGCCACAGATGCCACGACATCAAGAATGCAGAAAATATGAAAACACAGGTAAGATCATTGGCCCTGTGATCTTAGGTGCCAAGTGGAGCAAGACAGAATCTGAGACAACTCCACGAGAAGCCTTTTTTTTTGTGCGTGTGGCCATTCTGCCCTGGCTAGGCCCTCTAGCACCATGAATAGAGGTTGTGCAAGCAGATGCCTGTGCCTTCTGCCTGATCTTACAGAGAACGCAGGAATGGGGGAGATGCCGTGGAGGGTGGAGCTCACGTGGGAATGGAGAATGGATGAGGTCAATGAGCAAGGGAGAGCTGGAGCTTGGGGGGAGCCCAGGGAGAGCCAAGGCAAGGATTCTCAAATGAGGTGCGTGGCCCTTACCCTGCCCCTTTCCCTGCACCTAAGGGCCCAGATACGGCCCCTCCCCCAAGCCTCCTCCCCACAAAGCCCACTCTGGGAAGCAGCCATCACCCCAGGCTGTTCCCAGGCCCTGTCATTCTTGCTTCGGGAAGTGAAAATGAACAAATTGCGGCAACACCACACTGTCCCTGAGCAGAAATCACAGCACACAGTAGAATGCTCATGGGGATGCATCTGGTCCAGGGCCCTAAAGGTGACATAGAATGAGTGCCTTGTATCTGAGGACACTGAGTGGGGCAGCACTGGGGCCTGTGGACATCAGGCAGAGGACCCACAGAAGTTACCTAGAGCCTCTTTGTAGACACGGTGTGGCTGAACAGCCAGCAGCACCCATCCTGAGGT